GTGTGTGTGTGTGTGTGCGTGCGTGCGTGCGTGCGTGCGTGCGTGTGTGTGAGCCTTTGCCCCTGCTGGCAAAACTCTGCCCTATCGCACAGTTCGTGTGTGTGTGTGTGTGTGTGAGCCTTTGCCCCTGCGTGCAAAACTCTGCCCTATCACACAGTTCGTCTGTGCGAATTAGCCTTTGCTCCTGCTGGCAAAAATCTCTGCCAACTTGTGCAGCGTACATAACTGGCGTTACGTGTGCTGTAGGCGGTGGCCGTGCGTGCGTGCGCGTGCGTCAGTGCAGTGGGATGCGTGACATGCAAGAGGCGGCGTCACTGGCTGCGGCTGCATCCGTTTCGCTGGGTTCCTGTGTGAAGAGAGAATTCGCGTGTGTGGGAGTACCAATCGACCAGCGGTCTTTTCCTAGTATTGGGCGAGATCGAGAAGATCACCCGCCCGCAGCGAGAGAGAGAGAGAGAAAGAAACACCGGGCTGGCGTGCGGGTACGTACGCGAGCCGAGGGAGAGCAGGCAGCCGGTGAATGGTTAACGATATACCGTATTGATCCGGCGTGCCTGAGCTGAGTCAGTGTCTCCTCGCTGCCAGACACGGGCGCGCTACGACGCGACGACGAAGGCTCGCGCTTAAGCCGTAGCCGTCTGCTCGCGCGAGTAATCGCCGCTGAGGAGTGTCTTGCTGTGTGGGAGTAGCAATCCGTGCGAGTCCGTCGTTCATGTGCGTAGCGGCAAGTACAACGCCGACGCATGATCTTGCCTCCCGCTGTCGCATAGATCTCTGCATCTAACTGCAGACGCACTGCGTGCTGCAGATATCCGTCGCAGGAATATCTGTAACTGCAGACTTCTTTTTCGAAGAGTCTGCGAGATATCTGTTACGAGTCTGCGAGCTCGAGAAAGCGTTGTTGTCTGATGTAGAGGAGGAAGTGTTTTTATGAACGGGAGTTTGTATGAGCGTGGCAAACAGTGCAGAGCCGGTGTAACGCCGAGTATTTCATCATAAGTCTGCTGAACGCGGTACTAGGTAAGCGGAAGTACAGCTGACCTAGATATTCACGGAAACCTAAAGGTGTGACAGCCAGGACAGGTACCGTTCGACGGGGATACTTTGACGGGAATGTTTAATCAGTTCTTGAATGTTTGGTATTTATTTGTAGGAGCGCATTCTTGCTTTGCTTTCATCCTGGACTCTACATATAGGTATCTAAAGAGGACATGCTGTTGGGAGGGTGATTGTTGCATCGTGGAGTATTCTGCGCCAGATGAGTGCGCAAGTCAACAATAATAAAATTACGTCTCTCTATCTCGTTGCAGAAATTCCGAGCGCATCTCGTCGTCGAACTGAGCAAAGTGTTTCAAGTCGAGATCCAGAAGTACCGTGCACTGCGCGGAGACGACCGCTAAAGCCGTGTTCGTGTGGAAAGCAGACCTACTCGCTATCGACTATCTACAGCAGACAGTGTTCCGCCCCATCAAGCAGCTTAACTATCTATTAAGCGTCTCTCTCTCAGTCTCTCCCTCTCTCCTACGTGCTTACTCTGTCTCTGTCTCTGTCATTGTCTGGGAACCTAAGGAGGAGACCCCAGCCTAAAAAGGAACGCACGCGAATCGGCAGGTTATCGAGCGTTGCTAACGGCAACAGCGGCGGCGCCGCGCGATTGAGCACGCCATCAATGCGGACGGACCGTGCGGCGGCGACGACAACGCTGGCCGCGGTGCCGTGAGCGCCACCTGCCCCGCGGCCCAGCATGAGTGCTGCCGACAGCAGCGACGCGTTCGCTGACAACAACCTCCCGATCAGTTTCTCGAACCCGAACTACCAGCTGGACGAGGCGCTGAGCGGCGGCGGCGGTGGCGGGGAGATGCGCTGCGCGGCGGACGACGGCGGCGAGATCGGCGACGACTACGACGACGCGGAGATCTACGAGGACGTCGACACGGGCACGTTCACGCGCGACTCGTCGGTGAAGAGCCGCCGCAGCTACAACCACATCGACCTGCCGTCGATGGGGCTTGACCTCACAGCAGACCCGACTGCAAACCTCCCGTCGACGCCCCACCTCAGCTCGCCGGACAGCGTTGCTGCGGGCGACAACGCCGACGAGCGCTTCCGGTGCTACCGTGGCATCGAGTCGAACCGCAACGAGGTCGACGAGACGACGGTTGCCGTCGACGACGGCAGCAGCACGGTGGGCGAGAACAATCTGAAGAACATTAGCGCAGATAGCAACGTCGGCGGTGACGCGGCCGACGAGGAGGAGAGCAGGAAGATCGAGTACGTGCGCGGGCCACGCAACGACGACATCTACGCCGTCGTCAATAAGAAGGTGAAGGCCCAGCTGGCGCACAGCAAGGAGACGGAGAGGGCCGTCTCTCCGAAGGAGGAGGACAGCACTGACAGGCAGCGAGAGGAGGGGGAGGACGAGGAGGAGAAGCAGCAGAAGGAGGAGAAGCTGCCTGCAGGCTGGGAGAAGCACGAGGATGCCGACGGCCCCTACTACTGGCACATCAAGAGCGGCACGATCCAGCGCGAGCCGCCGCCGCCGCAGCCATCCGCACCGCCCACACGCCCGCCCGCCGACGTCTCGCCCGCGCCCCCTGACGGCCGGCAGTCCGCCGAGACTGCAGCCGAACAGGAGGAGAAGCCCGCGGCAACGACGGAGGAGGAAGCGGCGGAGGAGGGCGAGGGGTCGCCGCCGCCGCGGCAGGTGCGCTTCGCCGTGCAGTCGCTTGGCTGGGTCGAGATCTCCGAGGACGACCTGACGCCGGAGCGCAGCAGCAAGGCGGTGTCGCGCTGCATCGTCGACCTGTCGCTCGGCCGCAACGTCGCGCTCGACGTCGTCGGTCGCTGGGGCGACGGCAAGGAGCTCTACATGGACCTCGACGACCACAGCCTGAAGCTGATCCACCCGCACGACCTTGCCGTGCTGCACGCGCAGCCGATCCACTCGATCCGCGTGTGGGGCGTCGGCCGCGACAACGGCCGCGACTTTGCGTACGTGGCGCGCGACCGCACGACGCGCGTGCACATGTGCCACGTGTTCCGCTGCGACTCGCCGGCGCGCACCATCGCCAACACGCTGCGCGACATCTGCAAGCGCATCATGATCGAGCGCAGCCTCGCGCACAACCTTGTCGCGCCGCCCGCTGCGGCGCCCCCTGGCGGCATCGTGCGGCGCGCGCGCCCGACCAACCTGCCGACGCAGAACCGGCGCGGCGTGCGGCCGGGCAGCGCGCCGCCGCAGTCGTTCCCGACGCCGATGGAGGAGCCGAAGAAGCAGATCCGCGCGCACTACCTCGGCGCGACGCAGGTCGCCCGGCCGATGGGCATCGAGGTGATCAACACGGCGATCGAGCGCATGATCCACATGTCGCCGCGCGAGATGTGGTCGCTCGCGAACGTCGCCGTCGCGCCGTCGGTGATCACGGTCGTCGACGCGGGGAACCCGGAGCGCGTGCTGCAGGAGTCGCGCGTGCGCTACCTGTCGTTCCTCGGCATCGGCCGCGAGGTCGAGTACTGCGCGTACATCATGCACACGGCGCAGGACCTCTTCATGGCGCACGTGTTCCACTGCGAGCCGTCGAGCGGCGCGCTCGCGAAGACGATCGAGGCGGCGTGCAAGCTGCGCTACCAGAAGTGCCTCGACGCACACGCGCGCGACCAGGAGGAGCAGACGCCGCCGACGACGCCCAAGAGCATCGGCATGGCGATCAAGGGCATGCTGGGCTCTCTCGCTGGCCGCAAGAAAAGTAGTGGCAACAGTAGCTAAGGGGCGCCGCGGCAGAGAGCGAACGAGGTGGCCTCTTGTTTGCGGTGCGGCGGGGGGGGGGGGGGGGGGGGGTCGTGTACTGCCCGAATGGAAGAGCCTCCTCCCCATGATGCATGTTGCCTACAGAGAGACTGCGCGTGCTCCGGCTCAGCCAGGAACATGGTTGCCGCACAACGCACGCTTGCCACCACCAGGAAAAGGTTGAAAGAGCCTGTTCAGAGAAATCAACAAGTTAACAATGGTCGTTTGACTGCGCTGCCGGACGCGGATACATAGGTGGCGTCGGCAGTCGCCTCACTAAGTGACGCTGCCTCATGTCTTGCGCGTCTCATGGAGAAAAATCGCTTAGCTTCTATAGAGTTGGTTTCTTTGCCCCATTTAACGAGTCCAAGGGTGCTGACCTGTGTTTGTTTGTGCAACATAAGACTGCGCTACACGTTTACGCAGTCACCACTAGAGGGCGGTGGCCTGCATCGTGCAGGAAGTAACCGGTGCGTATGTTTTTGCTGAGTACTCCAAACCCTCCATGTGTTTATGGTATAGATATCTTTGTGAGAGAGGTTTTTTCCAGGGGGCTTGAGTTCCGTCGTATTTTTACGTTTATGTCTAGGAAATTGTATTGCATTTGTACAGTGTACAATTTTCATAAGAAGAATCTTATTTTGCTATCGAGTTGCAGTAATATTTTCCGTTGGTGCTACGAAGCAACACATTAGGTATTTTTTGCCATTCGGCAGCTTGGAAAGTTGTAAGTGATCGGGATAAAATTATTATTATTATAAAGTGTGAGTGCTGTTCGAGAAGACTGTGTGTGTGTGTGTGTGTGTCTACATACTTACCAGACGTTGAGATGTTTAATTATTGATGTGGAACCCTCGAGGCTGTATTTAAAAGTTCGATGAATTCTGCCACTACACATAGTGGTTGTGTGCAGTTGGATGGATACTCGAGATGTACTCCTCTTCAAATATGGATGCGTGCATGTATACGCGTGCATACAGTGCCGACGTTGATTTGCCGACAATCTGATTATTCTTGAAGTTCGCATCAATAACTCACCACTGTACATTTCACTGCGTGTCGTTGCTATGTGCTCTCGCATACATAAGATCAGGAGTGAATAATAGAGATTCTTTTATTATTCACTCCTGATAAGATATAGATACGATCACGTCACTTTGCAAACGGATTTGCATTTGCAGCGTTGCGTATTTGTATCTAATACACGGATGGGCAATATACCTTATTATCCACGTGCTAATCGTAACACGTTGTTCGTGAAGATATATTCGCGTGTTATTTAAATTTTGACCCACACTTTCATTGATTCGTGTATAACAGTTGAACGTAGATGCCATTGTTCTTCCTATATAGGAGCACTAGCAAATTGTCCTCACTCCTGTTTCTGTGCATAGCGTATGTACGTGTAGATTCTTGCGCGCTGAATTTTCCGTGCATGTCGCGAAAGATGGGAGATTGCACTAGTAATAAATTTATTAGCCTTATCATGTTGTCTCACAGAAATTGCCTCCATAGTTCGTTGCGGCGGTCGGCGCGCTGCATGTGTTATGTACGTATTACGACAACGATTCGCGCAGTGTGCGACGGAGATCCATTTGCATGGATATATATGCAGTAATGGGATGCTAGGCGTTGATGAGGTGCCCCGTGCACATAATATACAAGTAACGGGTGTTTCTATTGCCCGCTCGCGCTCATTAGAGAGGCGGAAGGGCTCTCATAGTGATGGCGGCGATGTGGGTTTGCCGTCGCCGCGCGCCCCCCTGCGTGTGTTATTAGTAATCACTGTTAGATGCTTCACTGCAGTGATTACGAGAGGAAGCAGCGCATCATTGCGATGCTGCGCCAGGCGCTCGCATGACCCGGTATTACGTACGAAATACTGTCTGGGGAGCAGTCGCAGCTACAGTAGGTAAACGACAGCACCGCCATCACTAGCATCCTCATCCCCATCATCAGCAGCCGGCAAGCACTCAATAATCTAGTTCGTCTAGGTCTTGGCAGACTGATAGAACAAGCTGTCTTCTGTACAATGCTGGTGCAGACGCAGTGAGGAAGGCATTGTGAAATGCAATAAAATGGAATGCATTGCCAAACAAAACGGTGTGCGTGTACCCGTTACCCGTCCGCCTCTCAAACCTTCCAGCGACTATTGCTTTTATTGAATTCTCAGAAGCAGAAAGGGTTCCCCGGTATTTCAATACAGCGATCTCGTCACATATTTGTTTGTTTTATTTTCTATTATGGCGAATGCTATAATGACCCTCTGCTCCGTTGGGTATTGTACTCTTATCGCCGCCTTTTATAAATATTGCGGAATATTCATAAATAATCACATTAATTCACATACGGCAGACTGCACGTGGACACGTATGAAGTGATTACATACAGACAGGTTTACTGAACAGCAGCGTTTGAGCTGCCCTCGTTTGGTTAGCAGTTGAATTTCATTCAAAATCACCAGGGAAATCGCAGCTTTGATTCGAATGCAGAGGTGCTAGGTATTGTAAAAGCAACACAACTGTATGTTCGATTGCAAAAGGATGGTTGAAAACGTGATGATATTTAACGATACTCAGTTTATCTTACCCAAGTTTGGATATAGAATTGCCGATTATGATGTCCGCGTGTAGGCTGCCCTTTGTATCGATCTTGTTTTCGTGACCGAAGAAAATGCATAATAATGACATCTGTTTATTCCTTTTCACTGGCGAGTTTCAATTATCATCAACCCCCATCACCTACCTGGCTACTTACCGCCCTGCCTGCCAGCCATCCAAGCCAAAACCTACTTACCTACATACATACCTACCTGGCTACCTGCCTGCCTACCTGCCTGCCTGCCTGCCTGCCTGCCTGCGTGCCTGCCTGCCTGCCTGCGTGCCTGCCTGCCTGCCTGTCAGCCTTCCTACCTACCTCTACCTGCCTACCTGAAGTATGATTTCAGTGTAACTGGAAACACGCGCATCATTTTGCTTGGCCTCAGCTGAGACAGCGTGTGAGGTTTGCTGCTGTAACTGTCGTGCAGCGTATAGGTGTCGTGCAGCAGCGGGTGTCGGTGAGCGACATCCACCCGACGTCAGATTCTGTTCATCACAGCTCGCATTCATCGTCGCTATTATTGCTCAGGTTTACGTCGTCTTTGTGTGCATCGTTTACGTCCGGCCTGGTGTGCAATGAGCTTACAAGCAGGGTGCGTGTAGAATTGTTGAGAGCGTCGCTCGCACGTTGTGCCCACGGTTCCTCCGCCGGGTTTGTCACTTTGGCGGTGTCTTGTTCAGTGTTTTGGCGCCTGGGGTGTTCCAGTGCAGTCCAGATCGCAAGGGAAGCGAGAGTAGGAGTGAGGTGTGTGTGGGGGGGGGGGGGTAACACGTCCAAGATTTCTACGCATCTTAGCTAGTGGTGAACACCACAAAACCGCTGCTGCATATATATATATATATATATATATATATATATATATATATATATATTCTACAATCGAATCCCAACACAGACAGGAAGGCTGCTCTGCTCATCAATTGCTGAGGCGTGCATTTATTCTGCAAATATAATTACGTTCGCTCTTGCGTGCGCTGCAATTGTCGGCGAGGTGAAGGCTGCGGACTGTATGACGTCATTTATCTGTACAATGGGCGCATGCGCACCGCTGTACCTATGTGTCTTCGCTGTTTACTCTCCAACTGCTCATGTCACACTGTTTCCCAGTTATGGTTCTTCTATATAAAAAGGAAGTTAGATTGTCTACATTAGAATGTGGCCGTCCGCCGATAACGTAAGACGTGTTCAGTTACACTGTAACTATACTCGCGAGCTATTGCTACGTTCTGGTTATTCCGTACAAGAAACTGAGAACGGTTTAATGTGTATAATAAGAATTACGTCTCTATTTCATCGTATCTCACTTCTACGTCGCGTTACGGTATAGTACTAGATTTCGTCACTTTGTCATGAAAGTAGGGCCATAGATCGAAAACACAAGATCGTGTACTGTATATATATATGGTAAAGTGGTGGTAGGCGGCAGACGCGATTGATTGACGACACGCGCGTACACCCACGCATGCACGCACGCACACCCACGCAATGCACGCACGCGCGGGCACGGGTCGCTGAAAATATAATTATGAGGGTACCATGACTGCCGTTCCATGCCCACCTTGCAGAAACTATTTCAATTATTGATTATATGTAGGCCTATCGTGACAGATTTCGAATCCTGCATGTAAAAATATGTACGACCTCGACTGTGGGGCAATTCCCGAAGAGTTCCGAGTCGTAGACTTGCATACTGTAGATCCGGTACTTTGTCATTTAACTTGTAGTGTGGTTCTAATAGAATCTGCTATTACACTGTAATCACCTGTAATAATCCTGTCATACTCGGAGGGCATATGTGTAGACACTGATAATAATCGAGCGTCTTTAGATAATTTCCGGCTTTGTGTGTTCTAGATTTGTATAGCGCGCGTGTTTTGATTCGAACGGCTTTTGTGAGAGGTTTCAGTGATAATAAACTACTACGTTGCTCGCCATATAGAAAACTAGTTCAATTTTTAATCTGCTGTCCGAGTCGGGCGTGAGTCATGCAATGATGTGACGTCATTATCGGGAGCACCTGCCATTCTATATAGACGCCGTTATTATAACCTCGAAAGAGGGATGTGTGTGTGTGTGTGTGTGTGTGTGTGTGCGTGCGTGCGTGCGTGCGTGTGTGTGTGCATGTTTAACGTGGGGAATTGTTTACCTGCCAATGGCGCGCGCGGGTTAGCTCGCCTCACGGACGCCACTGCTGCCTGCATGCATGGTTGCCCCTCACTCGTCGCTATGCAACGCACAACCCATCATTCACAAGCTGCCCACACACGGGGCGTACACGGCAGCAGCGGCGTCGGCGTTCTCCGTCAGAATTCCCGGCATGCACCGGGCGCCGATGACTCATCGCGTAGTCTCGGCCGACTTTACTCTCCGTCGACTTGCGGCGCTGAGCGGAGATGGATCGATCACTCTCCTTTGTCGGCAGTGAAAACAGGGAAAATCGCCGCGAATGTGTCGTGGTGGAGTTGGCTGTTGTTCCTTTAGGCTGTTCGCCGCCGCAAGCCTGAAACGCGCGACCTACTATTTGCGGTTACGGTTCCTTCCCCCTATCTCCGCCTTCCTTGATTGCACTGACGGTTCCTTCCCCCTATCTCCCCCTCCTTGATTGCACTGACGGTTCCTTCCCCCTATCTCCCCTCTTGATTGCACTGACGGTTCTTCCGCTATCTCCCCCCTTTGATTGCACTGCCGTTCCCTTCCCCCTATCTCCCCCTCCTTGATTGCGCTGACGGTTCCTTCCACCTATCTCCCCTCCTTGATTGCACTGACGGTTCCTTCCCCCTATCTTCCCCTCCTTGATTGCGCTGACGGTTTTTTCCACCTATCTCCCCTCCTTGATTGCACTGCCGGTTCCTTCTCCTATCTCCCCCCTCTTTGATTGCACTGCCGGTTCCTTCCCCCTATCTCCCCTCCTTGATTGCGCTGACGGTTCCTTTCTCCTATCTCTCCTCTTTAATTGCGCTGACGGTTCTTCCCCCTATCTCCCCTCCTTGATTGCACTGACGGTTCCTTCCCCCTCTCCCGCTGCCTTGATTGCAACTGATGGTTCCTTCCCCCTATCTTCCCTCCTTGAATTGCGCTGAACGGTTCCTTTCTCCTATCTCCTCCTCCTTAATTGCGCTGACGGTTCCTTCCCCCTATCTCCCCTCCTTGATTGCACTGACGGTTCCTTCCCCCTATCTTCCCCTCCTTGATTGCACTGACGGTTCCTTCCCCCTATCTTCCCTCCTTGATTCGGCTGACGGTTCCTTCCCCTATCTCCCCCTCCTTGATTGCGCTGACGGTTCCTTCCCCCTATCTCCCCCTCCTTGATTGCACTGACGGTTCCTTCCCCCTATCTCCCCCTCCTTGATTGCGCTGACGGTTCCTTCCCCTATCTCCCCCCTCTTTGATTGCGCTGACGGTTCCTCCCCCCTATCTCCCCCTCCTTGATTGCGATCTGACGGTTTCCTTCCCCCTATCTTCCCCTCCTTGATTGCGCTGACGGTCCTTTCCCCTATCTTCCCTCCTTGATTGCACTGACGGTTTCTTCCCCCTATCTCCCCCTCCTTGATTGCCGCTGACCGGTTCCTCCCCCCCCCTATCTCCCCCTCCTTGATTTCGCTGCCGGTTCCTTCCCCTATCTCCCCTTCTTTGATTGAACTGCCGGTTCATTCCCCCTATCTTCCCCTCCTTGATTGCACTGACGGTTCCTTCCCCCTATCTCCCCCTCCTTAATTGCACTGACGGTTTCTTCCCCTAATCTTCCCCTCCTTGATTGCGCTGACGGTTCCTCCCCCCTATCTCCCCCTCCTTGATTGCGCTGACGGTTCCTCCCCCCCCCCTATCTCCCCCTCCTTGATTGCGTGCTGACGGTTCCTCCCCCTATCTCGTCCAGCCCTCCTTG